GAACGACGATTGTAGACTGGAAATGGCCCAGCGTAGTCGACTCCGGTTATCGAAAAGGGCTTAGCCTGACGTACTCGGTCTAACGGTAGGTCCGCCATGGGCGGTGGCATCGGGCGTGGATTTGCCCTGAAGCACCGATAGCAGCGCGATAGGCAGCGTTTAATGGCCTGATGGGCCCCCAGGATCCAGAAGTTCTGTGACAGGATATAATGTAACGCTCGACGTCCCGGATGCAGATGTAGGCGGTGGGTGCGCTCTACTATAAGTTCCGTGAGTCGATGTCGGTTAGGCAGCAATGCCGGGTGTTTAGCTTTGTATGAGATGGCGGAATGGGTCAGCCTGCCGCCCACCCTGAGGACTCCGCATCCAAGAAGGGGGCGAGTTTTCGCAGAGGTTTGGAGCAACTTTGATTGCGTCTTAAGCTACCGATATCCTCTGCGAAACAACGAGATTGTACAAATTTGACGAGGTATAACAAGGTCGAGTAAAATTCGATTTGATCCACGACGAGAGTGAGCGCGTTTGATCTAATTTTGGCAACGAATCGGAGACAATACGCGAACACTCTGACGAGTTTATCTAACGACGAGAAGCGATCGAGAAGCGAATCGACAACGGTAATGGAATCTACCTCATCAGCAGGATTTGTGGACGCGAAGGCGCGAGAATTTTCTTCCTCCTCGGGAAGATCCTCAGCTTCCAATGTCGTTTCTTGAGTGGGTTCGAATTCGACAAGCCACGCAGGACCGGTCCACCACAGCGGGTGGTCGACTAGTTCCTGGGGGAACAAGCCCCTTGAGCAGCAATCAACGGGGTTAGATTTGGTATCGACATGTTTCCAGCAGGAAATGTTAGTGTTGGACTGGATGCGTGCGACACGATTACGCACGAACGTCTTCCAACGGTGCGGAGCCGAGCGTATCCACGCGAGGGTAACCTCAGAATCCGACCAGGCGTATGTGTCGTCGACGGCAACTTTAGGTCGGAGAATTTTCTCGACATACTCCAACAAATCTGACAGCAGGACCGCCGCGAAAAGTTCGAGTCTCGGTAAGGTGAAGGCCTTGAGTGGGGCCACCTTTGATTTAGCGATGAGCATGCGGATTATCACCCCATTCTCGGTGACGAGTCTAATATATACAATGGCTCCGTAGCCCTGCTCGTTCGCGTCATAAAATCCGTGGATTTCTCGCCTGACTACGTTATTTACGACCGCGATAGTACGAGGTATACGAATGGAGGCTAACGCGGAGAGCTCCGACTTGTATCTTTCCCATTTAGAACATATCTCTGAGGGAGGCCTGTCGTCCCACTCCACTTTGAGCATCCAGAGTTGCTGAATCAATCGTTTGGCCATGAATGTAAGCGAGGTCAGGAACCCCAGTGGATCAAAGGTGCGAGTTAATTCAGAGAGAATGGTGCGTTTGGTGCAATCTCTGTCCAACGGGTTAACCTGAAATCCAAAGTCGTCCGTTTGAACGTACCAACGAAGTCCAAGGACTTTAAGAAACTAGTCTTCCGGCGATTCAAAGGATAGTAACGACTGGCTGCAGAGTTCCGGATCCAGATCAGCTAAGACCGACGGATGGCTACTGGCCCATTTTCTGAGTTCGAAGCCGGCAGTTTTAAGCAAGACTTGTAGTTGCCGCTGAAGCTCGCGGGCTTTCTCCACTGACTCGACACTTGTCACCACATCGTCGACGTAGACGCTCTCCTCCAAGGCAGCCGCGGCCAATGGGTAACTTGTTTTGCCTTCGGCTAACTTTAACATGCAAGCAATCGCTATGAACGGCGAGCATGTCAATCCGAAAATGACAGTCAACAGAAGGTAGTCCGAGATCGGATCGTTTTCTGAGAAACGCCACACTATTCGTTGATAGTCACACTGACCGAGTTCGACCAATATCTGAAGAAACATCTGTCTGACATCCGCGGTGAGCGCCACGAGACCGAGCCGGAACATCAATAATATCACAACTATGTCAGATTGTAGTTTGGGACCGGATCGCAACATTTGATTCAGCGAGACGCCGTTCAGATCCTTAGTCGATCCATCAAATACGAGCGCAATTTTGTAGTCGTGCTATTCGACTTGAATACCCCATGATGGGGTAGGTAAAAGACAGGTCCGTCCACTGGGAACGGCTGCTTGATCAATTTCATATAGCCATTATTTAAGTAATCCTGCATGAATTTGCTGTAATTTACTTTGAATTCTTTATCCGATTTGAAGCGACGTTCAAGTGCGCGAAATCTGTTCACGGCTACTTGACGCGTGCCAACGAAACAAGGTTTATCCTTTATGAAAGGATACGATACTACAAATCGACCAGATACATCGCGACGCGTGGTCTGCGCAAATAGTTCCTCGCAACGTCTATCTTCCTGTGAATACGGCGGAGCCGTGGGAATCTCGTCTAACTGCCAAAATCGATTGAGAGACGCGTCTAATGAGTCGAGAGTCAGGAACGAGTGTGTAGACCGAGATGCCTGCGTCGATACCGAACCGACTAGAACCCATCCGAAAATGGAATTAAAGGCGTCTGGTTCGCCCTTCTTCCCTACACGACGACCGTCTCGAAGCAATGACGTAAAGAGCTCTGTGCCGATTAAGATATCGATGGGACCCGGTCGGTGATACTGCGGATCCGCGAGCTTCAATCCCTCTATGTTTTTCCACGCTCTTGGTTCGACTTTACTACTAGGTAGTTGGGCGGAGATGCGTGGGAAAATCGTAGTCTTTATCGGAACGCGAGTATTGCTATTACCCTGTACTTGAATCACAAGTGAGGTGCTGCCTCGAGTAGCAGCCGCCCTAGTATCATTAACCGCTAGAACTACTGTGCGACCTTGGTTCGTCCGAAACCACCCCTTTGCATGCAATTTTCCGAGATAAAGTTCAATTGACTAGCACTATCTAAAAGCATGCGAACAGGGAATGGATTCCCATGGACGTCGAGAGCTTCGGCCTGCACCGTTGACAGTAATACGGTCGAACTCAATTTCGCGACGCTGGTCATGGTGACGAGGGACTCGTTATTTTGTGACGACGAACTCTCGTCGACGGCCGATTCCGAGGGGGCTCCGGTATCCGCCGGGGTGCCCGCTGGACCCGAATTCCGTCCGAAGTGTAATAAGGTATGATGCCTAGCCTGGCACGACCGGCACGTCCCCGTCGATGTGCAGTTGTTAGTGCCATGACCCGCGCGAAGGCAATTGAGACACAAATTCGCGGTTTTGGCTGTTGAATGCCTTTTCCGAGGGGATAATTTCAAGAATCGAGGGCACTTAAACACGAGGTGTTGCTCCTTGCACACCGGACACTCGGCAGTCTGAGTAACAAGCAACGAGGCCGATGCGGATTTTTTTGCCGGAGACGACTGTGACTTGATCGACATATTCGTGGGGCCCGATACGGACGCGAGAACCCGGCAGTGATCGATAGGAACTTCGTGAGTTGCGCGTGCTTTGGTATCTCTTCTGCCCGGTGTTCGGATTCGAATTTCTCGCGAAGCGAACGAGGTAGTTTTTCTAACAAGAACTTGAGGAGTAAATAGTCCCAAGAGTCCGTGGGGAACCTTTAACACGTTCAAGGCTCGCCTATTTGCGGTGAATGTGTCCAACAGCGTGCGGAGAGGGACGGCTGACTCCAATTTTAACGGCTTGGCGTTTAGCATTAAGTCCACGTGGTAATTCGTTAAGTTCCGCTTATTCTGATATCGCGAAATCAGGGCGTCGTAGGCTATCGCGTAGTTATCGGCGGAGAGGGGGAGGTTCTTCACGACGTTGAGCGCTTCCCCTTTCAATGAGGCTACCAGATATTGGTACTTCTCCATGGAGGAAATGCTCCGATTCTCGTAAATAAAAACGTTGAACAACGCGATGAACGAGGGCCAAAGCGCGAGATCTCCCGAGAATTCCGGAAGTGAGATTTTAGGCAGTTGGATAGACGACGTTTGAACCGGGGCCTGAGCGGCCGCGGCGGCCGCTCGGCCGGCGCCCACAAATTTCTCATAACGCCCGATTATTCCAAAGCGTATCGTATCGAATTCTTTACGGATTGCGTCTTCCGCGGTAAACTCCTCGTCTGAGGCGTCTTGGATTATTTTGAGGTGAGCCGCCTCAAAATCCTTAATCAGTCCAGCCACGGTAGGGTATCTAACTAGGAAATTTGGCCTCTGTGCTTCATTGTCCACGGCGAGCATCGACAGCTCATGGGATCTCCCTCATCCGCTGTATACACAGCTCGCGTTTAGTTATATGACCTCGGCCCATGATGATCGGAATACGACGCTAAATCAACCAAACAAGTGGAACACGCGCGCAGGATTGGGGGTTCACGTGAACCCGAAACAATGACAACTCAACTCAGCACAAAATGTCGACAAATACTAGAGAACAGAAAGCCTCGACTTTGGAATGCCAGAAGAACAACACAACTGTTCCGCTCGCCAAGGTGACAAATAACGGATGGCTCGGTTCGGATTCCTACGCGAAGGCACGATATTCCCGATAGAATGTTTTCCAAACACGATATAATAGCGCAATCAAAATGACAAATTTGTTAATCGCAAGAGCCAATGGCGAACGCAAGAAAAGAGTGTCAAATGCAGTGTAGAGCTAGCAAGGAAGAGGGTTGCAAGGAATGTACAAAAATAAGAAAATAGTTGTATCAGCGATCAAAATTATCAATTAGGTTGGCACAGGTGCCCGGTAACGACGAGAAATGCACTCAAGTATTTGTTCAGATTAAGTTTTCAGCAATACATGTTGTGCGCGGAGCTACGACACGAGCAGCGTATACGACATGAGCAGTATACACACGGCACGAGCAATAATCCATGACATGAGCATCAATTACGCCAATTTCTTTTGCAATTGTGATTATAATTGTAATTATAATCTTTAATAAGGTTACCTTGAGTGCTATAATATATTCTATACCGGGAACCAATGCCGACGATCAGTATATTCAATCGGTGGATATTATGTTTGCGAGAATTCCAACGATCGGAATAATAGTTGCAGTATGTATTTTCAATATGTATTTCGAGTCTGGCCAAAACACACCTAGCAACAGCGAAAATAATGTAGCGCGTTATTATGGAACGCGAGCTTGTGTAGAAAAAATGAGTATATACGCTGCCGGCCCGTGACCGAGCGTCAAGGTCGTCGACGGCGCGGCGAAAACGTATGGCTTGCCCGAGAATATTCGAGATCTGAATATTTCGGTTTCTATGTTAACAATGACGGGCTTTAATAATTACCGCGTCAATTGCGCAATTTACGATTAGTACAAATAACGGCGATGGAACGTGTTACAACGAGCGAGAGAATTGCGAGCGAGAGATATTGCGCGAGATCGTGGGTTCACGCGAGTATTCTCGTCGCGAATTAATTAGATTAACACGCCACGCGTTATTGCAATTCGCGTTAATGCGAATAAAAACGGCGGAACGTGTTACGACAAGCGAGAAGTTCACGCGAGTATTTTCGCTGCGAATTAAGAATTGCGAACGAGAGATATCGCGCGAGACTAAAGATTTTAACACGCCGCGCGTTATTGCGTCTTGCGACTATGAGAACAAACAATTAAGCGTATTCACGGCAAAGGCAGATAACAACAATAGCATGGTCGCGACAGCGAGAATATCACGCGAGTATTCTCGTCGCGAATTAAGAGTTACGAACGAAAGATATCGCGAGAAGCTACCACGCGCCACGTGTTATCGCGATGCGCGATTACAGGAATGTGCGAAAATTAACAAGTTAATGAATAATGCAACGTGAGCGAAAGGTCGGCGGTAATTTTCTAACGCGAAATCCGGCTCGAAGGACCAATGAACGGGGATAGTTTCGCCCCGGAGGCAAGATTTGCGATACTCGAAGGACCAGAGGAGGGTTGTCGCTTTCCCCTCACGACTATCAAATGTTTAACGCGAAAGCAGAAACGCATGCAACAAAATATTAAGCGAAGCGACTCACCGTGTCGGCCGTCGTCCCCGTGATTCCGTCAATCCTCGTCCTGTCCCTTGAACTTGGCCGCTCCGTGGGTCTCGTTCGGCATGCGATGGCAAAACTCGTGCAAGCAAGCAAAACGGTGGAGAGCAAGCGATAGAGCAGGCAGGAAAAGCAGTAGAAGACGTGCGCACTCCCGGTTGATCAAGGCGGCAAAGGCGATTTTGAGATGCGTTCTGCCCGGCGAATGTGTGCCGTAAGACGACTCCCAATATATGTGTGTGTGCCACACGGCGGCTTGACGAAAAAGTGTGTTTGCCGTAAGACGGCTGGATTGCTAATGCTCTGTCCCCGCGGTCCTGGAACATGTCGTAGTTGTTCCCTTTCCGGGGGGGTGGA